GCAGTACTGCTGGCGTTGGACTGGCTTTAACTTCGGCCTGGACCTGCTGGTGACCTACACCAACCGCTACATCATCTTCAAGCGCAACACTCTGAACCAGCCGTGGAGCGGCTCCGTCAGCCTGCAGCCGCGCCGCAGCATCGCCTTCAGGTGCAGCCCAGGGGGCCCTCCCTGCTGCCAGCCCTGCTGGTTTTGTTAAAAGTGTTACCCTGCCTCCTGGGGAGGAGCTCCTCGTGCTGAAATTCAGGAGGCTGAAGTGGTCTTTGCCCCCCCCCTCTCCCCAGGTTGCGGCTGGCCTCGTTCGACTGCAGCGGGAAGGTGATTTGCAGCAGGACAACAGGTTATCAGATCCTCACCCTGGAGAAGGACCAGGTGTGTCTGTGGCCTTGAGTGCTGGAGTTCAAGGCATGAAAAAAATGCTGAGAAGTCGCCAGTGCTTTTGAAGGGGAGTTGCTGTTCCTGTTGTCGTTGCTTATGTGGAATCTCAGGCATTCCTGTTAGAGGCAGTGGGTAATTAAGCTAATTTGTGAAGTGGATCTAGAGGAGGATAGTGTGGGTTTCATGAGTGTTGATAACATGAAATTAGTTCCCATATTAGTGAAATGAGTGCCTGTGGTGCTGCTGTCTGCTGCCAGTGTCATGTTCAGCTGCTCATCAGCATCACCCTCTGTATAATCTGGCCATCAGACTCCTCATTTAGAGGCAAATTCAGAATGTGAAGACTCTCATAAACTGAGGAGTTAAAAGAATGTCTGCATGTTGTTTAAGGGTTAGATTTATTACTCTAGTAAATGAATTGAAAAAAGCCCCAGAGAGGACAGGAGTTTTCTTAAGCAAGTGCCCTTTTCCACCCATTGCTGACAGCAGGATTTAGTGAGGCATATATGGGACTTGTTAATCAAGTTTCTCAAATCCCAGCCAGCAGTGATATAAAGGTGGTGAGAACACAGAAAACCTTTCCTTGTCAGTGCCATCCTTACTGGAGGGTGAAGTTTCAGTTTTGAAGTTTCAGTTGTTTTGCATCCTCACGAGGCTGAAGTTTCAATTTTGCTTCCCCAAAACCAGTTCCTAGAGTGGAACCAAAAAATTCCTACCCACAAACTGAAGTTTGCTTTCTCTTGTGGAATGCCTGGTTGGTGAAATCTCCCAAATCTGAAAATGATCCCTTTCTCCTCAGCATGTTGGAGGGGAAATTTGCTCCAGCATTTCCTGTGGCTGTCCCCTGTGCTGCAGAGGGCTGGGAGCTCTGGGGTGGGAGCTGTGGGCAGGCTGAGAATGTGTCAGAGTTACAGACTTGAGGTGAAGGAGAGCTGCCTTTGCTTTATTTTTACATCCTGATTTTAGTCTGTAGCCATTAAGATGTGCAGAGTGAGTGCTGTGTCAGTGCTGTGCTTTCTGGTCCCCCTCACCACACAAATGTCCTGTGTGTGCTCCAGGAGCAGATCGTGATGAATTTGGACAGCAGGCTCCTGACCTTCCCCCTCTACATCTGCTGCAACTTCCTGTACACCTCCCCAGAGAAGAGGGCAGACAGCGAGGCACAGCTGGAACATCTGGAAGCCTGAGAGCTCCCTGGGGGCTGTGGCAGCCCCTCTCCCCCCTGGATGCTGCCCAGAGCTGGGACAGCCCTTGCACAGTGGCAGCAGCCCTGGCCTTAGTGCTCTCCTATGCAGCTCAGACATTAAGTAGGCCAAAACCAGCCATCCTTTTTAATTTTTTAAATTTTTATTTCTGTTCTGCATCTTCAGGCAGCAGCCATTCCGTGTTTGAGAAGTGTTGTTACACTTGGGCTTTTCTGGCTGAAAACTGAGCCAAACTGGAAATAGGGAATTTGTGTGGATCACAACTTAGGAAATTACCTGAGCACACATTGTAGGTTGTGTAGGTTTTGTTAGTGTGGGTTTTGGTTGTATTATTTGTTGGGTTTTTAAATAACTGATCTGTAAATACCAGATCCATATTTTGCTTTTTTTCCTGGTCCTTTTCTCTCAGGGCCAAATAATCTCTGTAAATGTGGCATCTCAACTTTGGTTATTTAACTGCACAGCCTTTCCCACCTGATGGGTTTAAGCTTTTTTTGCAGCTCACACACACACATTTCATTCTTGGTCTTGTTCTAACACTGCAGCCAATAATTCTCCGTCTTTTAGCAGGTTAATTTACTAATAAGGATGTTCATAAATGAATTATTTTTTCCATGTACAGCAAGTACTCCAATGTCCTCACCATTACTTGCTGCTGTCAGCAGCAGCTCTCAGCTGGAGTTCTGCTGAGTGCTGACTCTACTCACACAAACCAAATACCAGTTTTTAAACATTTTCTCTGGCTTCTTTTAGCTTTTACCTTGGGAATACCTCCCGTGTTAGCTCAGGAACTTGTGACTTTCGAGTGCCTTTTGAGTTGTATGTGTAACACCAACTTCACATCAGTTCAGCAAGGTCACAGGATCCAAAGGCAGAGCTGGGAACAAGAGATTCCTCTCCACTTGGTGTGATGGATGAGTCGTGTCATGGTACACTCTGTTCAGTCTTTGTTGGGTTTTATGTTTGTCTCTTGCAATTTTCAATTCTTACAGCAGGATTTCTTGATTCAAACTGGGAATTTTTGCCTCGTTAGCCTATTTTTTTAATGTCAGGAAAATATAAAACCATTTGTACTTTATAACAAAGGTAAAAATGTGTTGGGCAAGACAGAAAAACATGGCAACGTGTCAGTAAATGATTTCAAGTGGAATATTTGTCCATGTGTGTCCTTTCCTGCTGGGAGTAGCTTTTTGTGCTGGATTCACCCTGTGGATTCAGCACCTCGCTGTGATCTTGTGTCACAGCTTTGGCAGCAGAGAGCAGCAGCATTTTCAGCTGTTCAGCTGCCACAGCATCAAATTTACTTCCAGAACTAACTGTATTTAGATACTTAACTCTGGTTTTAATTAGAAGTACCCACTCCTCAAGATTGACTCTGTGGAAAGCAACAGGGGCAGCTGGTTAGTGGTACCTCAAATCCAGGTGGATTTTTTGCAGCACATCAAAGTGTGAGCTGTGCAGGGCTTTGCACCCCTGCCAGGGGCTGATCCCCAGGGCTCCCCCCGTGCCCACCCAGTGCCACCAGGATGTGGGGCAGGAAACTCATCTTGGTGCTTATTTCCCAGGCAACATCACCTTGGTGTTTATTTTCCAGGCAACATCCCCTTCCCTGGATCCCTGGGTGTCCCAGTGCCAGGGGCAGCCCCTTCCCAGGGGCCAGCATCCTGGATTTGGGGCAGGGGGGAGCTCAGGGGCCCAGACACACGACACTGAGCCCAGCAGTGGCTGGTGGTTGTTTTTCTCTGGTTTATTGTCACTGAGGAGCAGCAGTGGTGGCCGAGGGGAGCTGAGCAGTACAACACCACACTCAGGAGGAACGGTATGAAAAGTACAAAAATAAGGAGGCCTATATATAATATCATTGCAGTCAATTGCTAAAAATAAATATTGTAAACACGAGAGAACAACATCAGGTGAATCTACAGCACTGGTTTCTGCCAGCAGCCACACAGTCTTTGGCTTTAGCACTCCCCTGCCCACACTGAGATGCATTTTCTTTGCATTTTCCCACTGTTTTGCACCTCTCCCCTCCCATGCACTTGGACCTTTCACCCCCTTATCTCTCTAACAGCCAGATGGGTTTGGATTGCCTGATAAGGGAGAGCAGGCACCCAGTTATCTCGGGTCAAACTGCAGCTGAGCTGCTGCCAGGCCAGAGATCTGTGCCCCACTGATACCCTCGGGCCACTGAGCACCAGCTTCTCCCTGCCAGCCTTGGGCTCCAGGAAGGGAAGAGGCAAATTCTGCCTGCAAGTCTCAGTAATTTGCTGATTGTGTTTATATAGATCTACATATATTTTAAAAGCCCCATAAAATCCTGTCCAAAGTACCAAGGAGGAGAGATTTGGCAGGGAGGGAAGGGCAGAGACTCTGCTCCCTGCTGCCTGCATGGCCAGAGAACATTCCAGCAGCCCGGGAAAGCAAAGAAAATGCATCCAGATGGGAACAACCAAGCAAAACAAAACCATCCTCAACCCACAAAGCAGCACTTCTCGCTGCAGGGAAGACAAATCAGGCTGAGCAGCCTGTCTGTCTGTCCCCACAGATAATCATTTGCTCTTCCCTTCATATCAGTAATTAGGATTTAATCTTCCCTTCTTCATTTTCAACACATTCACAGAACATCCCGTGGCGACGTTTTGGCGTGAGGTTCTGCTCCCAGCTGGGCTGGACACCCAACACCTGCAGGGCTGGTTCCTCCTGGGGAGCCCAGGGAGCACAAACCCCTCCAGGGGCTCCCAAATCCCTCCAGGGGCTCCCCAAACCTGTGGCCCTGCACCCACAGGTGTCCTGCAACGCTCTGAACTGGGAGCATTCCAGGCCCTGCTTGATTCTGAGTCCAAGCAAAAGCTTTCCAGCATCAGGGGAGCCTTGGAGACCCAGGGGGGGGATCCCTCTGACCAAGCCCAGCCAAAAATCCTCCAGCAGCACCCACAAGGGTGATCCTCCTCAGCCCTGCGGAGCTGCAGCCCCTCCTTCACCCCAGGCAGGTGGGGGGACAGTGGTGACCCTGCTCCAGGCCAGGTATCTCCAATTTCCCTGCTCACATCCCCATCCTTCCCATTCTGCCCCCAGAACTGCTGTGTTCTATAAAATTTCACTCACTGACAGATGAAAACACTGTGGATTTCAGAAGGGGCACAGCTGGCCAAGAGTAAAAACAGCCACTAATGCAACTCTGCACAGTGCAGCAGCTAAAAAGATTTCTGTTTTGTTTTTTTTCAGTAGGCAAAATGCTGGTTTTCTGAGGAAAAAAAAAAAATCACACAAAACTGCTTGGTACCAGATTAGAGGATTTCTGTATCATCCTTCAAAGATTTATTTGACAGCTTCTAAAACTTCCACTAAACTTGGTTTCTTACATCATTTCTATACACAGGTTTTATTTGTTATAATTGTCTTGAGGCTTATAAAAAAATAAGCATTTAAAATGCCCAAAAGAGTAATTTTCCTTTAAAATTGTGCTACTGAACTTGACCCCCAACACAGAAGAGAGACTTTTGGTAATGAGGTTACCCCAAGCAGTATAAAAATATACATAAAAATAGACAAAAACTCTATCCTCCAATCTGAAGGGCTGGTTGTGGGGTTTATTAGTTATATTTTTTTTTGTACATCACTGAAATTTCATTAACTTCTGCTAAATATTTACAGAAAACCCCCCCACCCTCTGCCTGCCTCCTCTCACTGAGGCAAAGACCTGCAGCTTTTAGTTCATCCAGAGTTTTCTGTTGGCAAAAATGGATCCCTGCACATGGGCCATGGCACACAGGTGATGCTGAGGGCACAGGGGTCCCTGGGGACCTGCAGGGCCCTGGGTTGTGTCGTGTCCCCCTGGATGTGACCTTCCAGAGCACAGCTGGGGACAAAACAAAACCTCTCCTAAGGTTAAACCCAGCCTGAAGCCCACAGCATCACCACAGGGCCCTGCTGCTCCTGCACACCCTGGCTTTCTGCTTTCCCTTTTGTCCTGGCGATAAAGTCAGAATGCCCAAACCTCTTGTACAACAGTCCTCAGGTATTTGGGTCTCTTTCTCCAGTCTACCCCAAGAAAATTTTAAATTAAAAAAAAAAAAAAATTACACGACAAAAAAAAAAAAAAAAAAAAGAAAATAATTACTCTGTACTCTTCTCCGACAACATGAAAAGGTTAAAACTAAGTGACACAACCCCCCCGAGACTATGTACATAAAAAGACATCAGATCTCTTAAAACATAAATATACAGTGTATAAATCCAGGTGCCACCTAAAGGCTGCAGCCACAGAACTATTTCACAGACACAAAGCAAACCAGACTCTCCACGCCAAGGGCAGACACGGCCACGGGTCTGGGGGTGGCCAGGGGGAGGCAGAAGCCCGTGGCAGCAGCTCCTGGAGCCCACACATGCACCAGGGAAGGGGTGGTGGTGGTGCCTGGGGGTGAAACACGACCCTACACACACGCCACGTTCCTACAACGCTGCTCAGGGTGGGGGTGAGAGGTCAGGAAATGGGATCAGAGCCCGAGTCCCCAATTATTCCCAGGCACGTGCTCTGCTGGGGCTGCTCAGGGGCTCCTGCAGCCCCCCCAGGATTGCTCACCAAGGGAGGTACGTGGCACCCCCAGCGCAGCCGTGGAACTCTGCACCCCGTGCTTTGAGAGTTACCATGACTTTCATGGAAATTATACAGCCTTGATCAGGGTAAAAGACTAGTGGAGGTCTTTAGCCCAATCTTAGAGGTTTGCTTCTACAGCACGGACAGCTACGGCTCCGACACACATAAATAGGTTCTGTTAAAGTGACAATGCAGTGTCTGAATTATCCGAGTGTTATCCCTACTGCTGCTAGGGGAGGGCCAGTGGTCGGGGGTGTGACGGAGGTGGGACAGCTCCAGCTCCACCTGGAAATGCAGGGAGAAGCCAAAAGACACTGTGAGCTTTACTCGACAGCTGGTTTTATGGCATGCAAGGGAACTCCTACGACAACACTTGGTACAGAGCCCACGGCGGCTCCGGTCCCACCGCGGTGCCTCGGAGAACGAGTAAAGCTACGAGTCTGCTCGGAGGGGAGGGGGCGTGTGAGTGTGTGCAGAGGGAGGGAGGGGTTGGGTGAGGAAACGTCCTTGTTCTGCTGAAACCAAGCTCTTGGGCAAACCTGCTTCCCTCTACCGCTGGCCGGCCTCGCGGATGCGGCAGGCCACGGCCGTGATCAGCGCGGCGCCTTTGCCGCTGCCGTCCTCCGACTGCAGGAAGGTCACTTCACACTTGGGGGACAGCTCCCTCACTGTCTCCTGCAAGACCGTGGAGAAGCTGCGGGGCAAAGAGAGGGAGAGGGTCTGAACTGACCAGCCACGGGGTGAAAGTGTCAGTCCCAAGCCCTGATCTGCCTTCACAGAGACTGGGAGAGCAACGCAGACCCCGAGGGGATGGATGATGGATGGATGGATGGATGGATGGATGGATGGATGGATGGATGGATGGATGGATGGATGGATGGATGGATGGATGGATGGATGGATGGATGGATGGATGGATGGATGGATGGATGGAGACAGTTGCCAGGGATGAAGCTTAGAAAGCCCAAGTACAACACAACCATGTTGTGCCTTCACTCAGGACTAAACCCAGCCCCTTCTCGAGGCCCACCAAGCCCTGGGAGCACCAATGAGCCTCAACAGCCCTGACCAGCCCCAGCTGGGGGGAGTTTTCAGTGCCTCCCTTTGCCCATGGACTCCTGAGCCCTGTTTAAGCTCAGCCCAGTGCCTTAGTCCCTGCTCCAGTGCCCAGCAGCACCAGGCAGCCAGCTCTGGCATGGGCAAGTTTTTGTGTGGCCGTGAACTTTCATGACCCAGCTCATTGCTGGTTAGAGCTGCCTGATGAACCTGGTCACCAGGTCTGGGTCAGGCCCAGTGGGACTGGAGCAGCCCCTGTCCTTAAGGGAGCAGCTGACTCCTGCTGGGCCTCAAGTTTGTATCAGCGAGCTCCTGGCAGCCCTCGATGCCCCAAAACACCCCAAATCCTCCCCCATTACCCCCTGAACCTTCCCCCCGAGCCCCCCAGCCGCCCAAGGAGCCCAACCAGAGGCACTCACTGAGGGTGCAGCTTGTAGAGCGTCCCGTCCACGCCGACGGTGATTTTGAGGAAGTCCAGGCCGCGGTTCTCGCGGATCTTGTCCACCACGGCGGCCATGCCGGCGCCGCAGAGCTGGGCCGCGCGCCGCGCCACCACGGCGCACACCTCCTTGACGATGATGCTGTCGTCGCACGTGGACTCCAGGCCCAGGTGCTGCAGGATGGAGCGCACCTGCAGCAGGGCCAGGCAGTCGCTGGGGGGGACACGGCGGGGGCAGCGTTAGGGACGTGAGGCCTCCTCTTCCTCATCTACGGCCTGCCCGGCCCGGACGCTCGTGGCAGTGCCACAAGGAGTGTTCAGTTCTCACCTGCAGCCCCCCTCAACCTCAGCTTTCAGACCTGGACGTGGCCTGCTGTCACATCCTAATCAGGGAGGCTATTTCAGGACAAAGCCAGCGGAGTGTGACACCCCTGCAACTCGCGGGGTGTCCCCCACCCGCTCCGTGCCCAGGGCAGAGGATCAAGAGCCATCTGTGCTGCCAGCCCCAGCCAGCCTCCTTGTCTCTGCCACATCCACGTGGGCTCTGCTGATTTATCCCTGTGGCACCATCCTGCATCACCCTGGCTCCACACCAAGCACCTGGAACTTCTCCCACCAGCCCCGGGGGCACGTCCCCCAAATTCCACCCCTGCTCTGACTGGCAGCTGGTGCTCACTCCCTGTTGGAGCTCACCTCTCTATCTGGGACAGGAACTTGGTCTCAAAGATCCCTCTGGTCTTCAGCCTCTCCGAGATCCGTCCCCGGAAGAGCAGCCCTTTCTTGGTGAAGTCCATCAGGATGTTGCGGACGATTTCCCCCAGGTACATCCCACTGATCATCTTCTCATACCTGGGCAGGAGAGCACGAGGCCGGACATCAGCACAGGAAGGGACCCTGGGGCTGGGTGGGGATTCCAGCTCTGCCAGGTGCCCTGAGTACAAGCCCAGCAGCACGGCCCCCACCCACGGGCAGGGGACAAGGGACACGTCGGTGTCCTGCCCATCATCCCCTGGATGCACCAAGGGGCTGCTGGGGCAGAGCTGCTCCTGCACCCTCAGCCCCATCGGGGTCCCTTCCAGCCCCCCAAAGCCAGCACCCACCTCTGCTTGCCAGGGTTGAGGGACAGCTCATCCACTGCCACGTCGAACTCCGTCCGAATGTCATCCAGGCAGCCGCTGTCCCCGAAGGCCCCCCACTCCATGTTGACACACATCCTGCCCTCGTCCCCTTCCACCAGCTCCACGTTCCTCATCTCCTCCATGTAGCAGGCGTTGCTGCCCGTGCCTGTGGGGAGCAGCGGGATCAGAGGGACACCTGGGACACCTCCTGTGCCCCCCAGGGCAGGGGTGGCAGCACGGAGCTCCACAAGGAGCGTTCAGTTCTCACCGACAATCAGCCCAACTTCGCAGTAGGGATCCTCGTACCCACAGGTCATCATGGTGCCAACGGTGTCATTGACCACTGCCACCACGTCCAGGTCGAATTCCTGCAGAGGGATTGCACGAGTTATTCCTGGAGGGCTTGGAATTCCTGCTGAGTCTGCTCCCACGGCTGGGGAAGGAGCTGGCTGGCTGGTGAGTGTGGCAGGCAGTGTCACAGAATCATGGAATGGTCTGGGAAGGGCCTTAAAGCCCATCCCATTCTCCCCCTGCCGAAACAGGGACGCCTCCCACTGTCCCAGGCTGCTCCAAGCCCTGTCCAGCCTGGCCTTGGGCACTGCCAGGGATCCAGGGGCTGGATCTGGGCACCCTGTGCCCTCAATACCCTCACAGGGAGGAATTTCTTCCCAACATCCAACCTAAATCTCTCCTCTTTTATTTTAAAACTGTTCTCCCTTGTCCTCCATGACCATCCACCTCCACAGACACAGAGGTACCCCAGGTGGGGACCTCCCCCAGCCCCACCTGCCTGCAGGTAGAGCTCAGACACCTGCAGCTGGGTCAGCCCTGCCAGGAGCAGCCCGTGGGCAGGAGCTCGGGGTGGTCTGTGCTGAGGAAACCAGCCGGTGTCTCCTGAGCTCAGGACCAGACAAGTCTGCTCCAGCCCTGGCCAGGAGCCAGCCCGTAGCTCCAGGGTCTGAAAATCCAACCTCAAGTGATGAGTAAGGGCGGCGGTGAAAATTCCGACACTCATTACGCTGAGCTCAGCCCAGTAATTTGTTTTACAGGCCAATTAACAATGCTGAAGAGAGCCAGGATGTGGGAGCAGCCTCTGGCTTCTCCCAGCCCCGTGGCTGCTCACCTCTCTCCTGTGAATGGCCTCCTTCAGCAGCCCCACCACGTCCTCTCCCTCGCAGCCCGTCGCCTTGAAACCTTTTGTCCACTTCAGGAGAATTCCCTGTGGTGGGAAAAAGCCCCCAGTGAGTCCCCTGAGCAGCAGGTGGGAGGCACAGCCAGGGGTGCTGCCAGGAGGGTGGGGTTACCTCGTCCAGGTTGTTCTGCTGGCAGGGGAAGGAGAAGGTGAATCCCAGCGGGAGCGACACGCCCTTCATTCCCATGTACTCCAGGAAGTCAGAGATGCAGTGGACAATGTGGTCAAAGAGCTGGAGAAGAAAAGCCAAAGGGAAATGCTACCAGCACAGCCAGAGCTCAGCTGGAAGCCAAATTTCTGGGGGTTCTGTCCATTCCCAGGCCTGCTGGAAGGTTTAAATCACTCCCAGGACTTTGAATGGAGCAGGACGTGGCTCAGCTGCACTGTGGGAGGTGAGCAACCCCAAAAAGCTCAGTTCACTCTCTTCCCCACCCACAGCGTGGCCAAATCCCTGCATTATCTCCACCTCACAGGTCCCTGGAGGGGTGGGGGCCATCAGGGAGGTGACACAGGAATCCAGTCCCTCTGCAAGGGATCCCCAGGGCCCTCCAGCCCAGTCTGCTGGAGGTACTCCCAGGCCCCAGGCACTGCCTGGAGTGCTTTGCAAAACTCTTTCCAAACGTGTCTCACTGCTTGTGTTGTGGTTTCCCTATCTGGGGAAATGGGGATGATGCCTATCTGCCCTTGTGGAGTGTGTGGGATTAGGGGAGGCTCACTCACACCCGGGAATAACACCTAAAAACCAGACTCCAGCTTCCCAAACTCCAGAGCCCTGGGCACAGCTCGCTGCTCTAAGGGCAGGACAGCACCAGCCCTCCCCACCGCTGGTTTCGCTCCCTGGAAAGGCAAAACCAGCTCTGTGGTCAGCCCTGCTCCAGCCAGCCCCTTTCCCCTCTCAGCCTGCCCAGGCTGACCTCCTCCCCCGTGCCCTGCATGATCTCCACGGGGATGGAGTAGATCTTGTTGTGCATCTCCACGCCGCGCCGCATGCCGTTCCTGACGCGCACCAGCAGCACGCGGAAGTTGGTTCCTCCCAGGTCCAGGGCGAGGAAATCTCCCTTTTCTGCAAGCCAAGAGAGGATCATCAGCAGAGATCCCAGCACGGAGCAGACATGGAGCTGCTCTCCTCCAGGGAGAGGGATGGGAATGGAGACATGGCTGGGGATAGGCAGGAACAGGGCTGCGGGTAGGAAGAGGATGGAGAGGTTTGCTGCAGCCTCAGGGTGACGATGAGGCTTCAAATCATAAATCCCATACCATCCCATCCCATCCCATCCCATCCCATCCCATCCCATCCCATCCCATCCCATCCCATCCCATCCCATCCCATCCCATCCCATCCCACCCCTCACTCACTGCGGGTGTTTCTTGTACACGGAGCCATCCACGCCCACGGTGGAGCGCAGCCTGTCGCCGCCCTTGTTGTCGCGGAGGCGGCGCAGCACGGCGGCCAGCGTGGCCCCGCAGAGCGCGGCCGAGCGCGTCGACACGATCTGGCAGATGCGCAGCGTGGCCACGCAGTCCTCGTGCGACGGCTCCAGCCCCAGCTTGCTCAGGATCTCGTGGGCTTTCTGCAGCCCCTCCTTCTCCCTGCAAGGACAAAAGGGGGTTCGTGCCCGGGAGATTTTTTTTTGCTGGGTTCTGGCCCGGGTTGGCTCGGTGCTGGTCCATCCAAGGCTGGGAGCCAGGAAACCCCTGGATCTTACTCACTTCTCAATGGCAGAGACGAATCTGGTCTCAAAGTGGCCCGTGGTGAGCAGATCTGGAGTGAGCCTTCCCCCAAAGAGCAGCCCTTCCTTGGCCATCTTCACCAGGATGAGCCTGACCAGCTCCCCCATGTACATCCCGCTGATCATCTTCTCAAACCTGCCCGTGGGGAGGCGCGGGGTGGAATCAGGGAATGGTTTGGGCTGGAAAAGCCCTCCAAGGTGGTCAAGTCCAGCCATTCCCCAGCTCTGCCGAGGCCACCGCTAACCCCAAGTGCCACATCCACAGAGCTCTTAAATCCCTCTGAGATGGTGACACCACCACTGCCCTGGGCAGCCTGTGCCACATCTGACCACCCTTTCAGGGCAGAAATCTTCCCAAATATCCAACCTAAACTCTCTCCCCATAAGCTCCCCCTGAGCCTCCTTTTCTCCAGGCTAAACAATGTGTGTGTTTGGCTGTGTGTGTGCCACAAGGTGGCCACAGGCTGACCTGAAAACCCCTTGGCAGCCTCCCATCCCAAACAGAATCTAGGTAATCTCTTCCCAGAGCAGTTTATCCCATCACTGAGAATATGGGGCCATGTAGACACGACCATCATCCTGCAAAGAGAACTCATGGCCACCTGAAGGGGCTCAGTCAGTTTGCAGGGACCCCCAGGGCACCCCCACGCCACAGCAGCCCTGTGGGGAATGGGAGATCTGTAGGACTGTGGATTTTAGGTGAGGGTGTCTGCCTGGGCTGGTAGGGGACTTTGCTGGCCAGGAAGGGAACAGGAATCATTCACAGGAGGGGGTCACAGGGGCAGCAAGTGGGACAGACAGCCCTGGTTTGGGACAGACCTGGTCTGGGACACAAACCCAGGTTTGGGACATAACCCTGCTTTAGGACAGCCCTGTTTTAGGACAGCCTCAGTTTAGGACACAGCCCTGCTTTGGGACACAGCCCTAGGTTTGGGACACAGCCCTGGTTTGAGACACAGCCCCTGCTTTGGGACACAGCCCCTGCTTTGGGACACAGCCCCTGCTTTGGGACACAGCCCTAGGTTTGAGACACAGCCCCTGCTTTGGGACACAGCCCCTGCTCTGGGACACAGCCCCTGCTCTGGGACACAGCCCCTGCTTTGGGACACAGCCCCTGTTTTAGGACACAGCCCTGGTTTGAGACACAGCCCCTGCTTTGGGACACATCCCCTGCTCGGGGACACAGCCCTGCTCTGGGACACAGCCCTAGGTTTGGGACCCAGCCTTGCTTTGGGACACCGCCCCTGCTTTGGGACACAGCCCCTGTTTTAGGACACAGCCCTGCTTTGAGACACAGCCCCTGCTTTGGGACACATCCCCTGCTCGGGGACACAGCCCTGCTCTGGGACACAGCCCTAGGTTTGGGACCCAGCCTTGCTTTGGGACACCGCCCCTGCTTTGGGACACAGCCCCTGTTTTAGGACACAGCCCTGCTTTGAGACACAGCCCCTGCTTTGGGACACATCCCCTGCTCGGGGACACAGCCCTGCTCTGGGACACAGCCCTAGGTTTGGGACCCAGCCTTGCTTTGGGACACCGCCCCTGCTTTGGGACACAGCCCCTGTTTTAGGACACAGCCCTGCTTTGAGACACAGCCCCTGCTTTGGGACACATCCCCTGCTCGGGGACACAGCCCTGCTCTGGGACACAGCCCTAGGTTTGGGACCCAGCCTTGCTTTGGGACACCGCCCCTGCTTTGGGACACAGCCCCTGTTTTAGGACACAGCCCTGCTTTGAGACACAGCCCCTGCTTTGGGACACATCCCCTGCTCGGGGACACAGCCCTGCTCTGGGACACAGCCCTAGGTTTGGGACCCAGCCTTGCTTTGGGACACCGCCCCTGCTTTGGGACACAGCCCCTGTTTTAGGACACAGCCCTGCTTTGAGACACAGCCCCTGCTTTGGGACACATCCCCTGCTCGGGGACACAGCCCTGCTCTGGGACACAGCCCCTCTCTGTACCGGTGGCAGAGGACACGGTGACCCAGTTAGCTGGGCTGACCTCCCCAGCCCCAGTAACTGTGGGAGGATGGACAATGCTGAGCAAACCACGAGCCCGAGCCAAGAATCTGCTCACAATTGTTTGCCAGGGTTGAGCGAGCCCATGTCGATCTCGCGGTCGAACTCGGTGCGGATGTCGTTGAGCACCCCGTCGTCACCAAAGGCCCCCCACTCCATGTTGATGCACATCCTGCCCTCATCCCCTTCCACCAGGTCGATGTGCCTCATCTCCTCCATGTAGCAGGCGTTGGTACCAGTTCCTGGGCCAAGCACGGGCACAGGGTGAGCGAGGACACTGCCTTTCCTCATTCCCATTGTTCCCCATTCCCTTTATTCCTTATTCCCACTGTTCCCCATTCCCATTGTTCCCCATTTCCCATTATTCCTCATTCCCATTATTCCCACTTTCCCTTTGGCCACAGCCCAACACACCAAAGAAAGCAAAGAACCAAGCAAACAAACTCTGGACAATGCTGGTTTTCCAGCACTGGTATCCTCTCTCTTTTTTCCCCCAAACACCCCAAGGCCTGCAAGAAGCAGGATCTCCCTCTGGCTCTGCTGGAGCCCAGGAAACAGCCCCAGGACATCTTCCCCCTTGCTGCAGCTCACCAACAATGAGGCCAACTTCACAGTTGTGGTCATCGTAGCCACAGGTCATCATGGTGCCCACGGTGTCATTCACCACGGCCACGATGTCGATGTCGAAGTCCTGACGCGGTAGAAACAAGACAGGCTGACCCCACAGAGACAAAACTGACCAAAACACCTCCACAGAGCCAAGGTGTCCTGGCCAGGACCCGTGTGCCCCCAGCCCAGCCCCTTACCCCTCTTTTCTTGATGGACTTGCGCAGCAGGGACACCACGTCCCTCCCCTCCACGCTGCTGCACTTGAACCCCTTCGTCCACGTCACGAGGATGCTCTGCAGGGGAACAGCAAGAAGGAAGCTCGAGGTGACACCTGGCTCCTGGCACGGGGGACATGTGGCCCTGCAGGGGGGGAGCCCCCCGTTATCAGCTCAGCAGCTGCGCCATCAGCCGCAGCTTCCGTGTCAGATAAAGTTTATGGCCACCAAACAAAACACGTGAGCTGCTCGTTGCTGGCCCGGCAGCAGGAACGTGCTTCCCATGACCAGGTTTGATTGAGCCCTGCAGCAAAACTTGTTCACGAGCCCAAGGAATGCTCCTTGACCCATCCCTGAGGGGTGGATGGCTGGCTGTGCCTATGGAATGCTCCCTGACCCAGCCCTGTGGGGTGAGAGGCTCATTGTGCCTTTGGAATGCTCCTTGACCCAGCCCTGTGGGGCAGGGGGCTCACTGTACCTGTGGAATGATCCCTGAGCCATCCCTGTGGGGTGGGGGGCTCACTGTACCTGTGGAATGATCCCTGAGCCATCCCTGTGGGGTGGGGGGCTCACTGTACCTGTGGAATGATCCCTGAGCCATCCCTGTGGGGTGGGGGGTTCGCTGTACCTGTGGAATGATCCCTGAGCCATCCCTGTGGGGTGGGGGGTTCGCTGTACCTGTGGAATGATCCCTGAGCCATCCCTGTGGGGTGGGGGGTTCGCTGTACCTATGGAATGATCCCTGAGCCATCCCTGTGGGGTGGGGGGCTCACTGTACCTATGGAATGCTCCCTGAGCCATCCCTGACCTGTGGAATGATCCCTGAGCCATCCCTGTGGGGTGGGGGGCTCACAGCCCCCAGTGGCCAGAGGCACCTGGCCGGGGGCCGAGCTGAGCCCTGGGGGAAGGAAAAGCACTCAATTTCAAATTTCAAGATTTGGAATCTCCAACCCTCTGGGCACAGCCCTTAGGGAGGCAGACACCCGCCCTGCCTTAGAGCTGGGGAAACTGAGGCACGGAGCATCGTGGCGTTCTCCCCAGCCCCGAGTCTGCAGGAGGAGAGTGCTAATCCCTCCCGGAGCCGCTGGGGCTCCACTGAGCACCGGGAGGACGGGAGGACGTGCAGGGGCTGCTGTGCTCCATGGAGCCAGCCCCTGTCCTTCCCAGGGGGGAGAAGAGAGCCAGCATCACCCCCTGCCCTTCCCGGGGGGGAAAAAGGGACAGGGACAGCCAGCATCACCCCCAGCCCCAGACCATTCCAGGGGGGGGAAAAACAGCATCACCCCCAGCCCCTGCCCTTCCCGGAGGGGAGAAAGGGGCAGGGAGAGCCAGCATCACCTCCAGCCCCTGCAGATCCTGGGGGGAATAAGAGCAGGGAGGAAATAAGGGCAGGGACAGCCAGCATCACCCCCTGTCCCTGCAGATCCTGGGGGGACAAAGGGACAAGGACAGACAGCATCACCCCCTGTCCCTGCAGATCCTGGGGGGACAAAGGGACAAGGACAGACAGCATTACCCCAGCCCCTGCTCATCCTGGGGGGGAGATAAGGGCAGGCAGAGCCAGCACCACCCCTCAGCAGCAGGGCCCACGTGCCTGGCTGGGCTCGGGGATGTTTGGTCTCCCAGCAAGGTCACAGCTCAGAGCTGACAGTGACAGTGACAGCCATCGGTGCCTGGGGCTGGCAGAGGGGACAGGACAGGACAGGGGGAGTGTGATTCTCAGGGTGGGATGCTCAGGGTGGGATGCTCAGGGCTGGGATGCTCAGGGTGGGATGCTCAGGGGGCTGGGATGCTCAGGGTGGGATGCTCAGGGCTGGGATGCTCAGGGGGGTGGGACGCTCAGGGCTGGGATGCTCAGGGCTGGGATGCTCAGGGTGGGATGCTCAGGGGGCTGGGATGCTCAGGGTGGGATGCTCAGGGCTGGGATGCTCAGGGCTGGGATGCTCAGGGGGGTGGGATGCTCAGGGTGGGATGCTCAGGGGGGTGGGATGCTCAGGGTGAGATGCTCAGGGGGGGATGCTCAGGGCTGGGATGCTCAGGGCTGGGATGCTCAGCATGTCTGGCTGCAGCTCTGGTGAAAAAGCTGCTCTCCATGGAGGCATCCCATGGAAACATCACCCCCCAGAGCCCTGCAGCTCCCAGGACACAGCCCTGGCTCTGCCAGCACCACGCCCTGCTGGCACACGTGGCAATGCTCAGGGCTGGGATGCTCAGCATGTCTGGCTGCAGCTCTGGTGAAAAAGCTGCTCTCCATGGAGGCATCCCATGGAAACATCACCCCCCAGAGCCCTGCAGCTCCCAGGACACAGCCCTGGCTCTGCCAGCACCACGCCTGCTGACACACACGGTGACCCTGGGACACAGGACCTTGCCAAAGGTCACAGAGGGGTGGTGGCTGAAAACTCTGAAGATAAATTAGGGGAAATCCAGAAACCCAGGATTGTCCAGAGGAGCTGTGGCTGCCCCTGCATCCCTGGAAGTGTCCAAGGCCAGGCTGGACAGGCTTGGAGCAGCCTGGGACACTGGAATGTGACCCTGCTCTGAACTGAGTGGTCCTTAAGGTCCCTTTCCTCTATGAAAACCTGGCCAGATGTGTTTAAAACAGGAGTTCCATCACCACTTATTGTCATCAAACAGCTTTTAAAAAGGCTGTCTGGCTCATATCCTTAGCAGACATTGATTTCCTTTTAAACTGGGGGTCAGTAGTGTATTTGGAGAAGATGACAAGCAACAGGGTTATTGGAAGTGACGCCAAGCTCTGCATTCCCTGAAGGAATGTTCCATCCTCTGTGTCCCTGACCCTGCAGCCCCTGAGCCATCCCACCAACAAAAAATATTCACAAAAATAAAAAGACAGTCCTGTTCCTGAGCTCCTGTCACCCAGAAATGGCTTTACAGGGATGAGAGATGTGGCACTTCAGGAAAGGTCAGGTAACCCAAAATCAACGAGCCTAATTAACAGCCTGAGCTGAAATTGGTGTGGAACCCACAGTGAGAGGTCAGCCCCTCACCCACCTCATCCAGCTTGGTCTGGTGGCACGGGAAGGAGAAGGTGAAGCCAAGGGGGAGCTTCTTGTCTTTGATTTGCAGCTTGTCCAGGAAGTTGGCCAAACACTCGGCAATGTGGTCGAAAAGCTGGAAAAAAAAGGTAAAGAGTGAAAAAACAACCCCTACTCCGAGGGCTTCACAGCAGGCTCCCCTGGGCCAGGACACAGCAGGGACCCCCAGGAGCCCACCTGCACCCCGCTGCCCCTCATCAGCTCCTCAGGGATGGCGTAGATCTGGTTCTCCATCTCCACCTTGCGCAGCCCGTTGTCCGACACCTTCACCCGCAGCACTCGGAAGTTGGTGCCACCCAGGTCCAGGGCCAGGAAATCCCCGTCCTCTGTGGGGTCAGGACAAGGACAACCCGTTAATTCCTCTGGCCACAGAGCCCTCAGGTCACCCCCCGCCCCCAGGTACAAGGAAAAGGTCAGATTTTTTATTACATTTCATAATTTTGACCATTATTATATTTTTTTCCGGTATTTTATTGGAGCAGTCGCTGTATTCCCTGCTCCTCCTCCTCTGCCCCCTGGATCAATATTTTGCCCATGATCGAGGCAGATTCTCATGCTTTGGGGGCATGAATCCCACCAGCCCCCCCAGAAAAGCCCAAGCCAAGAGGGATCTGAGGGAAGATGAGCTCCAGCCTCAGCTCCACCAGGAAGAAGACAGCAGAGCCACTCCTGACCCTGCTGATGCTCTTCAAGCTCCTAAACCTCCATCCAAGGGGTTAAACCCTGATGGCAGCTGTGGGAGCACCTCAGCCTGGCTCAGGTTTTGCTGTACTAAAAACCCCTGGTGTCCAGGCTCAGCCCAGTCCAGGCTCCAGGAATGCCACACACTCCTGGCATGTGGCAGCAGGAAACCCGGGAGGGAGAAGATCCCACAGAGCTGCTGTGGAATCTTTGCTCCTTGGTTTTTTTTTTTGGTTTTTTTTTTTTTTTTGCCAGGACTGGGACTAAACGTGCAATATGGAATTTCTTGTTGGGACTCAGATGTTTATTAGCTCTTATCTGTGTTGTACTCTCACAAACCCTGAGCACTCCAACAAACTAAAGCTGGAGCCCTGCCTCTCTCTCTCTCTCTCTCTCTCCAAGGCCTTTTAAGGATAAGCTGTCCAATTAAGAAATTACATCTAAATTATCTTTGCTTTTAACCCAGTAACCAACCACCCATGTCCTGCAATGGGGGCTTTTTTATGCAATTACACAAAACCACCCAAAGCCATGGAGAAGAAGAGGAAGAAGGGGAAGAAGAAGAAGGGGAAGCAGAAGGAGAAAAAGAAGGTGAAGAAGGGGAAGAAGAAGGACAGGAAGAAGGAGAAGAAGATGAAAAAGAAGGACCAGCCTCCATCCTAAAACCTCCATCTTGCTTTATAGATTTTCCTATATTCTAAACCCTTAAACTCCACGTTTCCCACCCCGTGATATCACACACTTCTATCCAAACCCCACACCCACAATCCCAGCGCTATCACTCAATTTTGGAAGTTTTCCCCACTGCCTCAGGTCAGTGCAGAGTTCTCCTGGGGGTCAATGCCTGGCAGCACAGAAAATCTCAAATTCTCAGCGACCAGGGCTCCAAGAAGGCTCCTCCAAGGGGAGCCCGGGGCTGTGCCCGGCCCGGAGCATCCCCTCCCGGCTGTTTTGGGGCAGGGAAAAGCGCCCAGCTGGCTGTTTTGGGGCGGAGGGGCCGGGGAAAGCCTCTCTCAGCACTGTGAATGTGCTGCGCTGGCTGCCGGGGCCGCTTTGTGCCGCACAAAGGGAACAAAACCCGCGGGACATTAGTATGCACCCGCCGGCCGGCACGGCAGTGACTCCGGCTGGAAAGGCAGAACAGCTCCTGCCCCAAATCCGGCCAGCCCCAGCCCCAAATCCAGCCCCAGCCCCAGCCCCAAAGCCAGCCCCGGCTCCTGCCCCAAATCCAGCCCCAGCCCCAGCCCCAAAGCCAGCCCCGGCTCCTGCCCCAAATCCAGCCCCAGCCCCAGCCCCAAAGCCAGCCCCGGCTCCTGCCCCAAATCCAGCCCCAGCCCCAGCCCCAAAGCCAGCCCCGGCTCCTGCCCCAAATCCAGCCCCAGCCCCAGCCCCAAAGCCAGCCCCGGCTCCTGCCCCAAATCCAGCCCCAGCCCCAGCCCCAAAGCCAGCCCCGGCTCCTGCCCCAAATCCAGCCCCAGCCCCAGCCCCAAAGCCAGCCCCGGCTCCTGCCCCAAATCCAGCCCCAGCCCCAGCCCCAAAGCCAGCCCCGGCTCCTGCCCCAAATCCAGCCCCAGCCCCAGCCCCAAAGCCAGCCCCGGCTCCTGCCCCAAATCCAGCCCCAGCCCCAGCCCCAAAGCCAGCCCCGGCTCCTGCCCCAAATCCAGCCCCAGCCCCAGCCCCAAAGCCAGCCCCGGCTCCTGCCCCAAATCCAGCCCCAGCCCCAGCCCCAAAGCCAGCCCCGGCTCCTGCCCCAAATCCAGCCCCAGCCCCAGCCCCAAAGCCAGCCCCGGCTCCTGCCCCAAATCCAGCCCCAGCCCCAGCCCCAAAGCCAGCCCCGGCTCCTGCCCCAAATCCAGCCCCAGCCCCAGCCCCAAAGCCAGCCCCGGCTCCTGCCCCAAATCCAGCCCCAGCCCCAGCCCCAAAGCCAGCCCCGGCTCCTGCCCCAAATCCAGCCCCAGCCCCAGCCCCAAAGCCAGCCCCGGCTCCTGCCCCAAATCCAGCCCCAGCCCCAGCCCCAAAGCCAGCCCCGGCTCCTGCCCCAAATCCAGCCCCAGCCCCAGCCCCAAAGCCAGCCCCGGCTCCTGCCCCAAATCCAGCCCCAGCCCCAGCCCCAAAGCCAGCCCCGGCTCCTGCCCCAAATCCAGCCCCAGCCCCAGCCCCAAAGCCAGCCCCGGCTCCTGCCCCAAATCCAGCCCCAGCCCCAGCCCCAAAGCCAGCCCCGGCTCCTGCCCCAAATCCAGCCCCAGCCCCAGCCCCAAAGCCAGCCCCGGCTCCTGCCCCAAATCCAGCCCCAGCTCCTGCCCCAAATCCGGCCAGCCCCAGCCCCAAATCCAGCTCCTGCCCCAAATCCAGCCCCAACTCCAGCCCTGCCCCAAACCCAGCCCCTGCCCCAGCTCCAGATCCAGCTGGGCACAGAGAGGGAGGAGGGCACTTGGGGGTCAGTGCAGCCCCTTGGGGGCAGAACAGAACTAAAGAGGGGCCAGAGCATCACATCCCTGAGGAGCAGAGCCATCCCCAAGGGGCTCAGAGCCATCACACCACCAAGGGGCACAGGACCATCCCCAAGGGGCTCAGGGCCATCCCCAAGGGGCTCAGGGCCATCACACCACCAAGGGGCACAGGACCATCCCCAAGGGGCTCAGGGCCATCCCCAAGGGGCTCAGGGCCATCCCCAAGGGGCTCAGGGCCAGCAGGGCACTGAGCTCCTGCACTGCTCCAGCCAGTCCCTGGATATTCCTTTCTCCTCCTCCCCTTGACCCCTTGCAGCTGTGAGCCTTAAACCAGTTTGGCAGCTCCTTTGGCAGCCTGTCTGCCAGCCACGGGGCACGGTGGCTCCTCCACAAACACAGCAGGAGAAGCTTGGAGGAGCTCCCCAGAGAGAGCCCAGCACGGGCACCACGCTCAGCCACAGCAGGGCAGAGCTGGCCCATCCGTGGTGTCCTGCCCCTCACACGGGTCACAGCTCCCTGGCATTGGCACTGGGAGCATGGAGGGCACCTCAGGGGAGTGATCAATACCTGCAGGGCACAGAGAACCCCTCAGGGGGGTGATAAATCCCCCAGGGATAAGGGCACTGCAGCCAAGAGGGGCACAGGGTCTCCTTGGAGGTGACCCAGGAGGATCCCAAAAAAAAGAGCAGTTTGGGGGAAATTCCTGGGAATTCTGGGTGGATCAGCTTTGCAGGAGGAACAGGGCAGCCAAGGCTCCCTTGGGAAATTCCCAGGCATGCTGGCAGCACGTGGTGGGTGCCAGGTGTGGGCACTGCCCCCCGTTTGGGCTCCCAGGTCCTGTGATAAGGGATCAGCCCTGGTGCTGAGCCCACAAGCCAAACAGGCAGGGCAAACACAGAGCCCTGGCTCCAGGGGCTCTTTGCTCTTGGCACAGGGTGAGAGCTGAGGGCCTGGAGAGCCTGGTGTGCTGCTGGTGTGTGGGATCATGTCCCAGCACCTCGCAGGCTGCTCACCCCAGGGATTCCCCCATCAAGGCTTCCAACCCAATTCCAGTGTGCAATTCCACTGCCTGGGAATCCTCTGGCAAGCTGGATTGGTGAAAAATAAGAGGAAGAGGAAAAGCTGGGAGGCCCAGACTCCAGGGAGATGCAGGAGAAGGTGGAGCTGCAGACCCTGGCACTTCCCACTGTAGCTTCTCCCTCCATCCAGATAATTCACGGGATCAGGGAATGGGAAGGGACCCCAAGGACCTCTCAGTTCCATCCCCTGCCCTTCCAGAGGACCTATGGCCCACCCAGCCTGGCCTTGAACACTTCCAGGCAGACACAACTTCCTTGGGAAGCCCTGCAGGGATGTGGTAAAGCCCCCATGTTTTCTGGGCATGAAAACAGCCTTTTCTTCCAAGCCTTTCAAGGCTCTGTGCCACATGAGCAGAGGCAGGAAAAGAGCTGAGCCCCCCAGCCAAGGGAAAAGTGCTGCCAAGAGCCATCCTTTGGATTTCCAGGGATTTGACCCCCAAATTCTGCAGCATCCTCCTGAAAGCTCCAGGCTGGCGTTACCAGCTGCACAGGATGCACCACTTAAACCAACACCATCGTGGAAACCTGGGCACCCAGAAAAGCCTGGAAACACCAGCAGTGGAGCAGGGAGGAGGATGATGGTTGCACTGAGCAGGGAAAGCCCTCGGGAGGGTCCCTGGGGCTCCAAGGAGAAGCTGATTTGGGATCTGCCTCCCCATCCCCTCCCTGCCAGCACTGCATGCTGCTGCTCCAGTGTGTGCCAGAGCCAAGCAAAGCAAGGAAAGTTGATTTTAGAAGAGCTTCTGCTTTCAGAGCAGAATTCCCCCTTTTTTATCACACCACACTGGAATGGCAATGCCCCTGAGAGCCAGGGCTGGGCTTTGGCTTAACCTGCAGGTGTGACCTTGTATTTGCATAAGCACCTCTCATCCCCCTGGAGCTGGGCATTAAATGGGGTCTAATCCCACCCAGAGACACAGGAGCAGGGGAGGGAGCATGGGGACCCCACAGGTGGATGGCTGGGAGCCCTGTGGCACCAGCCCCAGCCCAGAGCAGGGCTGGAGCAGAGGAACAACCCATCCTTGGACTGGGAGCAGCTGGCACAGGTGCCCAGCCCAGGTCAGACTTTGCCCAGGAGCTTTAAAGAGAGGGAAGAAGGAAGGACATAGCCCTGGGCAGTGAGATCTTCCCCAGCTGGCACCAAGCCCCCAACCCTGACTTGCCCCCTCCCCAAAACCCATGGGACACTGATGCCACTCAGGGGCTGGGTCCAGGGAATCCCAGCTCTCATTTCCCTGGCATTTGCTCTGAACTCCCTCATTTTCCAGCCCCCTTGGGCAGCTGCAGTGCCGTGACTGCCCCAGCATCCCTCTCATGTGACATTTTCCATGCTGCTGCTCCTCTTTCCCCCCCTCCCCCGGGTGAGAAATGCCAGCTGGGACACTGGAGAGGCTGGAAACAGGGAAGGGAGCCAAGGATCTGTCTTGTAAGGGCATGGGGAGGGATTGCTCCCTCTCCCAGAGGCGGGTCAGGGTGCTGGAAGTGCTGACACACGCTCCACCTGCACCCAGCACCTTTGGCTGCACCAGTTCCCATGCCCAGGGGCGGCTCCTGGCCGGCCCTGTAATTAAAAATATCCTCCAACATTTAAATAGATGGGAATCTGGATCCCAGGGCAGGCAGCCAGGTCCAGCTTTTGGGTGTAGGTGCACCTGGGGGGCCAAGATCAGGGGGTGCTTCGAGGATTAGAGGGGCTCAGGGGGAAGGTGGAGACACTTTTAGCAGGGGAATGGTTTCGAACTGGAAGTTTAAAGTATATACAAATAAAAATAGAAATTGTTGGGGAAATTCCTTCGTGGAAAGGGCAGTCCAGGCCTGGCACAGCTGCCCAGGGCAGTGCTGGAGTGCCCATCCATGGGAGGATTAGCATCTGTGTGGATGTGGCACCTGGGGACACGGGGCAGGGATGGATTGGTTGGATTTGACCAACTTTGGGGCTTTTCCAGCCCAAACCATTCCATGGCTCAGTGATTCCAGGGTTCTGTCATTCTGTCCCTGCCCCCAGGGAGCAGCCAGCCAGCAGCCACGAGGGGTTTGGGCTCTGTCCCTCTCCTGCTGGTGACCAGCAGCCCCGGCCACCGAGGTTTTGCACAGATCCCTGTGCAGGAGCTGGCACCAGGGCAAGCCCAGCCCTGAGTAACTGCACCCTGCACAACCTGGGGCCCTCCAAGGCTGCTGTGGGTCTGCAGCAGCCAGGACCAAACCCTTGGAGGGTCCTGGCTACACCTGAGGGCGAGGGGTGATGCTGCAGGGATGGAGACGAGCTCCCTCCCAAAACACCAGGCTGGGAGAGGGAGCAGGAGAGGAGGATGTGCCTGGCTGGAGCGTGCCCCGGGCAGCTCGGGGAGAGGCAGAAAGGCCACATTGTGAGGGCCCAGCTCTGCCCAGGCCCTGTGGCACTCAGACAGCGCTGGCACCGCTGCCGCCTCGCTGCTGGTGAAATCTGATGAGCCGGACCCGTGACTGTCTCTGTCCTGCCAGCAAGGGCACGCGAGGGCGGCTTCCCTCCCTCCTCCCTCCCTCTTTGCCTCCCTCCTCCCTCCTGCCAGCAGGAACTGGGAGCCCCTCCAGCCCCAGCACGGAGCAGGGAGCCAGGCCCGTCCCCACACTCAGCCCCAGCAGCGAGGGTGGCCCCTGCGTGCCACCCCCGCTGTGGCAGTGCCAGCAGGACGGGTGTCCCCAGCCCTCACGGTACCTGTGCCGTCCGGGGTGGACCTGACGAAGGTGGGCAGCATCTTCACGGAGGCGGTGGGGTTGGTGTCTGCCCCCAGCCCCTTCTCCATCTCCTTCTCAAAGCGCTGGGACACCTCCAGCAGGGTCTCGTCGGAGAGCCGCATGTGGTACAGGTACTTGTCCACCTGCAAGGGGCACACAGAGCCCAGGGCTCAGGCAGAGGGCTGGGGACAGGGCCACAGGACAGCTCAGGACAGTGTCCAGCCCTTGCTGAGGCTGCTGGGTGGACACAAGGAGCTGGAGCAGGTTCTGACCCATCCCAAAGTGCAGGACACGGCAGCTTGGCTGGAATTGCCCATGCCAGGGATCAGCCACGAGTCCTGCTCCTGCAGCTCTCCCAGGGTGCTCACCCAAAGCCACCCTGCATCCCCTCCCCAGGCTCTGCCAGCCTGGGAATCACAGAATCACAAAATCACAGAATCACAGAATGAGGTTGGAAGAGACCTCTAAGATCATCGAGTCCAACCTATGCCACGTCCATGCCCAGCCTTTCTTTAAACACACCCAGAGATGGTGATTCCACCACCTCCCTGGGAAGAGCATTCCAGTACTTTATTATTCTTCCAGTGAAAATTTTTTTTCCCAGTATCCAACCCATCCCTTCCCTGACGTAGCTTGAGACTGTGTCCTCCAGTGCTGCCCCACAAGCTGCTCCTGGAGCTCCTTCCCGCTCAGCCACCTGCAGATGGAAGAGACCTCTAAGATCATCGAGTCCAACCTACGCCATGTCCATGTCCAGCCATTTTTTAAACACACCCAGAGATGGTGATTCCACCACCTCCCTGGGAAGAGCATTCCAGTACTTTATTATTCTTCCAGTGAAAATTTTTTTTCCCAGTATCCAACCCATCCCTTCCCTGACGTAGCTTGAGACTGTGTCCTCCAGTGCTGCCCCACAAGCTGCTCCTGGAGCTCCTTCCCGCTCAGCCACCTGCAGACACCCAAACAGGTTGCCACAGAAGCAGGAATCCCAGCTCAGGGGTGAGTCAGGAGGTTCTCCAGGTGCAAAGCCCTTCCCTCTCTACACACCTTGACCTTGACCCCCAGGGCCTCTTCCTGCACCGAGGATGCTGGGCAGGAATCCACTGCCCTGTCATTTCTCCACTGCTGAGATCACCCCAGGAGCCCAGAGCTACTCAACAGCCTGGAGCAAAGCACGCTGAAGTGACAGAAGTGGCAGCTGCAATGACACAAGCACGTGCCACGGGTGGAGAGGGAAGAAACCCAGACCCCTATTCCTGGAAATTCTTGTACCCTGGTGTGGAGAATGCTCCTAAAAATGACTTTAAAGCATCTTGTCCAGCCTGGGAGAGGCGTGGAAAGGCTCCTCCCCAGGCACCAGCAGCCTGGCCGGAGCAGGGAGCGGGAGAGGCGGCCACTGCCCTCTCCCAAACCGTGCCCTGCTCCAATTAGCTCCACTCAGCATTAATTAAAGGGCAGCTGCAAGCCCTGAGAAGTCAAGGAGGAAAACTCCACCCCGTGTGCTCACCTGTCTGCAGGCACGTAACGCCGGGTCACCGGAACCGGGCCCGGCTGAGCTTTATGGGGCTGAGCTGCAGGAAATGGGCATTTTGTGGGCCACTAATTGCACCAGGGCCAGTGTGACCTGGTCAGGGATGTGCCATCCCACCCTGGGCTGGACACGACAGCCCTGCTGCGGTTTTGCCTGCCTGCGTTTCAGGCTCAGGCTGCTCCAGCACATCCTTTTTTCTTCCCCACCCTGAGCTCTGTTGGAAGTTTGGGAGCTGAGATCCCCTCGGTGAGGTCGGGGGATGGAGGAAAGCCCAGCCCAGCACATTCCAGGAGTGATGCTGCATCCCCTGAGGAGCAGCATGCTCTGAGTCAAACCTTCTCCTGGTGCTTCCAGCTCCTTCCCAAAACCAGGAGCTAAACACGAGGGAAAGGCCAAGGAGAAGGAAACCTGGAGATTTCCTGGTTCCAGGTGTTTACCAGCTTCTCCTTATCCAGCCCAGCAGCAGGAAGTCAAACACTCTCCTCCCTCCCCTCCTGTTTGCTTTCTCCTGCTGAAAATCCCCTCCCGTGTGCCGAGGCTCTGGTCACTGGCACCAGTAACCTCCAGTAACTGGTTGAGAGGTGGCTCTGGGGCTGGAGCCTCCCCTTGAGCTGTGCCAAGGGTTACCCCGAGGGTTATCAGCCCGTGCCATCATCCCAGAGCAGCTGGGTGCTCTGGGAGCTGCTCAGCAGTGAAGACCCCCCGAAAAAACCCAAAAATCCCAGTCCAGGGAACCCCCCCTGGGGCTTCATCCCCTTCCCCCAGGCCAGGCCCTGCTCTGCACGTCCCCCATGTCCTCCAGGCTGCAGCACACCAGAATAACCTCAGCCTGAGGAGCAGGGTGACCTCCCCCTAATCTCCAAAGCCCTTAAAACCTGGATCATCTTCTCCCAAGGTGGATATCACCCCACTTGGCAGCTAAAGCAGGTCAGGGCGTGCTGCAGGACGGCTCCTTCCCCACTGAATCCACCCTGGCCCCAGCAGGGAAGAGCCATGGCCACTGGCCTTCCCAAAACTCCCCAGCCCTGTGACTGCTTGGTTACCCCGAGCAAACTGTTTATCCCATCAAACTGTTACCAATTTGATGGGATAAAACAGGGAATTCAGCCTGCAGAGCCAGAGTTTGGGCATCTTTCAGCACAAAACACCTTCTCAGCTGCTAATGCTGTTGGGAGAGCATGGAATAGCTTAGGTCAGGTTGCCAATTCCAAACAGTCACTAGGTTAGGATCCTGAAGGGGGCAGTTGAGTTTCTGGAAAGCTTCCAGCCTAAACAGTGGTGTTTCCTCGAGGAAATCTAAACAAACCAAAGGGAGAAGGAAGGATGGAAGCTGGGAAGCGCCGGGCATGCCCCAGCCCAGGACACCGTGTTAAAGCTCCGGATCACGGAGTAGCTGTGGGTGTAATGAGCTCAATGCCACGTTTTTGAACCCAACCCCAGCAAATCCCCATCCCCTGGCTCAAGGCTGTCTCCAAGGTTCAGCTCATTTCCATGCCGGATGCTGGAGAGGTGCCCAGGGTCGCCTGTCCCGGCTGCACCGCTGGGAAGCCTCAGCTTGCCCAAATTCTGCTGCTGTGTGACCTGAGCTGAGCCAAGCCGGGCTTAAAGCAGCCCAAAAAACAGCTTTTATTTCCAGCCTCACAGCTCCAATGCCAGCAGTGCAGCTGGACACAGTTCTACCTCTTAAGACTCCTCTTAAGGAGCCTGGGCCCCAAGGGAGCAGTGCTGTGGAAATATTAATTAACCGATCTTCAATTAACTCAATTCCAAGTCAATGCCATTCTCCATAGAAAAGAGTTGGGGCTGCTCAGCCTGGAGAAGAGAAGCCTAAAGGGGCTCCAGGAGAGCTGGAGAGGGAATTTGGCCAAGGGATGGAGGGACAGGACACAGGGAATGGCTTCATACTGACAGGGCTGGATGGGATATTGGGAAGGAATTCCTCCCTGTGAGGGTGGGGAGGGGCTGGGATGGAATTCCCAGAGCAGCTGGGGCTGCCCCAAGGCCAGGCTGGACAGGGCTGGGAGCAGCCTGGGACAGTGGGAGGTGTCCCTGCCATGGCAGGGGTGGCACTGGGTGGGTTTTGAGGTCCCTTCCAACCCAACCCATTCCAGGATCCTGTAAATCCCTTGGCTCACACTCTGCCCTTGCAGGGGTGCTGGGGAGCCCGTCCCCATCTCTTGGGGACATGGGGCAGGGCTGCTGGGGGTGACATGGGGCAGGGCTGAGGGTGACACGGGGCAGGGCTGAGGGTGACAGCGCTTCTGGCACCACAGGGGAAAGGGGAAAAGGGAAGTCCCAGGCAGCTTTGTTCCTGTGGATCCCAAACTCATCTTTCCCACTAATGACCCCGGGCTCCAAGAAGGGGAAGCTGTCTGCCTTTTGTTTTGGTTTTGCTCTGAATCCTGTCCCAGAGCCACGTGGCTGCCGGGAAGCGGGGCAGGAGCACGTGCTCCCCATCCCTCAGCATCTCCTGCTGCGGTTTGCAGCTGGATGTGACTGATTCCCGCAGATTTTGGAGCAAAAGCAGAGCACTGGGAGAGGGTGGCTGCTTTCTGGGACAGATTCTTTACTTTTTGGCAACAGAGCCAAGCATTTGTTGACTGCAAGATGACGGAGCAGCGTTCAGATCTGGGGAAGGTTGCAACACCCCAAAACCCACGGCTTGTGCTGTCACCCCTCTCTCCAGGGAAATTTGTGCTGGGAATAAGATTTTCTTTAAATTACCTCCCTCCCCGTGGCAGTTTTTAACTTGAAGCATGCCGTTTTGTCAGAATCCCTGACGTTTGAGGCGATGCTGGCTCCCTGGGAGGGGGATGCCATGAAGCACCAGCCGTGCTCCCCCCCACCCAAACCCATGGTGGGACGTGATGAATTTGGGGAAAGCGAGGCCGAGGGAGCAGCAGAGGCTGCAGGGGGAAGCTCTGAAGGGTTTATTCCCTGCTCCACATCCTCAGTCCCTGCACTGCCCGTGCCTGTCCCTGTTTCCCACCCCGGGTGACTCAGGGCAGGGAACCGGCTCGTCCCCTCGCCCGACTCCCCCGGGTGACACAGGGGTGATGCTGGGCTGCCCTGGTGGCACCCACGTCCTGTCCTTCAGCTCCTCCACGCCGGCTCCAAGGCCACGTGTGCCCTCCCTGCCTCCCTGCCGGGATGACACACGCCCGGAGTCATCCTCACCCGGTGAGTCAGATGTTTCCTGCTCGGCCGGTTCCTCCTCATCCTCAGCCCCGGGCCAGCAGCTGGATCCACGCCGGAGGTGGAGCCGGGTGCTGATGGGGAGGAAGTGAGCATCCACCAGGGAGCATCCACCGGCCCATCCTCAGGTGACCCCGCTGGCCCAGAGCCCCAGTAAAACCCAGTTCAGCCAGGAAAAAAGCTCTGCCCTCCAGTTCTGGAGACATCCAGCTGCTGCTGTGCTTCCCCCCGTGTTAAACCCACAAGGTCTTGGGGATGCTGGATGGCAAAGCCTCCCTAGCCCCAAGAACCCCCTGGGATGGTGGGAGCATCCCCCTGTGGAGGGAAACTGAGGCTGGGCAGCTCTGGTGAGGAAGGAGACACAGGGTGGCATCCCCAAGGTGGGACAAGCTGCCCTGCCCTTGACCTTGGCTCCTGCCACTGACCTGGGCAGCCTCAGGGGAAGATGTTAAGTTGGTTTTCCAGGAATTTGCCAAAGGTGCCCCTCCCATACCCACAGAGGCAGCCAGCAGGGAGGAATCAGCTGGGTAAAACTAATCTCTTGGCAAAGGGAAAAATTTAAAAAAAAAAAAAAAAAAACAAAAAAAAAACACAACAAAACAAACCAAAGAGGAAAAGCTGCCCCTGCTCAATTCCATCCCAGTTTTTCCCTTTTGAAGGAGGGATGGGGGAGAGGAGACGCTCAGTCCCCCTCCCAGTGACGAGGCTGAGGGATGAGGAAGGCCAGGGTGAGCTGGCACATCCCAGGGGAACGCGGGGCAGCAGCGGCAAACTTTCAAGCTGGGATCTCAAAGGACGCTGCCGAGGTTAATTAAAGTTTGCACAATCCCTTGGGGGTTAGATAAGTCTGGACAACCCACTTTCCAGGCAGGAAAAGGGCAGGAGCTGGGGAGGGAGGCAATATGCCCCCAGATAGTGGCAGAGCAGGTAAAGCTGCTCCATGGCAAGAATGGGAAGAAAAATCCCATTTTTGAGGCTATTTCCAAGGCCTTGAGGTGGGCACAAACCACAGCTCTTGGAAAAGACACTTTTTTACACCAGCTGAGCTCCTTTTCTCCCTGATCCAAAGGGAAAACACATCCCAGGCTACCACCTACAATCTTTTCTCCCAAACACAGGGTTTGATAAGAAGACCCAACCAAACAAATCACAGCTTTCCAAGAATTTCAGCCCTCCACCTCCCTGTGCTGGGGACTCCCTGCCTTCTCCCTTTGCCTGGGGAGCTTTGCACACCAGGAATTATTTTGACACCCAGGCTGGAAGCAGCCAGGTCAGACAGCTGCCTTCTCCCCCCTCTCCCTGAGCCCAGCTCAGCTCCCTGCTCTCCCCCAGCTTCGCCTCACGGGAGGATTCACAGGAATTTGTTTAAAAATATCCCAGAAAATCCAGTTGTGGAGGCAGCCAGTAGGGCAGTGCCGTGTCCCACAGGATCCCCAGCTGCGGCCAGCAGCTCCTGGATATTTTTATTTCTCCTCCCTCACATATCAAACAACCTTTTTTTAATTTGTGCTTGGGAGGCGCGAGGGGCACCGAGCCGGTTCCTGAGGCTTCGCACACCCTTCTCCCTGTGGCTGGGGAAGGAGAATTCCTCCAGCCCGGCTTTCCCCCTGCATTATTCCCAGCTCTTCCCGATAAGGAAGGCGTGAGCAGCCGGAGCCGGGCCCGGGCTGTGCCGCTGGCCTATTTCTGCCAGGGTTACACAACACAACCCCATCCCTACCGTGGATGCGGCTGTTGCACAACCCCGGGGCCAGCGGCGAGAAGCCGAGCCCGTATTTCCTTGCGGATCGCTCTGCCTTGGGAACTTTTCCCAGCACTTTGTTTAGGTTGGAGTTGGTTATTTTTATTTTTTTAATTTTTTTTTTAATGTTCTGCCTCGGTTTCCTTCCTATCTAAGCCCGCTGAAGGGCCAACGTGGCAAGTTTCACTTCCCCGGCAGCATCTCCAGGGTTATCCCAGGTGTCTCCGAGCATTTCTCTCAGTTTTTTTACGGCGATTTTCGCAAATCCCGACCGCCTCACACTCGGACCAGCAAATCCCGGCCATTCCCGAGTCGGGAATCACAAACCCTCTCTGCCCTGTTCCCAGATGCCAGTGGAGCCCTGCAGGAGCAGCCCGAGCTCCGCGCTCTCTCCCATCCAGCGTTTTTCCTCCAGGAATAATTCATTAAGCCCAGCCTAAGCGCTGTCCTGGCCAGACAAAGGAGCCGCGGAGAGCAGCAACACTCGAGCTCCGGACCGGGGGGTGACCCGCACCCCGAACCCTGGGAACCCCAAACCGAGCACTCAGAACCCCAAAACCCCGCGAACAGGAGCCGGGTGGGGGGGGGTGGGGTGTGGGGGGGTGCTTCCCACCTCTGTCACCGCGGGGACGGGGCGACACGTGCGCGGCCACCGCGTGGCCAAGGCGACCCGAGGGGCAAGTGCCACCCCCGGGCGGGTGGCCCGGGCTGACCCCGCTGCCCGCGGGGGCTTGCGGCTCGCCCGTCCCGGCACGGCGGGGAGCGGCGGAGCGGCGGCCGGGGATGCTCGGCGCCGGCGGGAAGCGGCGCGGCACGTGCTGCGCGGGGGTCCCGGCACGGAGATCCCCCTTCCTCCTCCTCCTCCTCCTCCTCCTCCTCCTCCGCCGCCGCCGCCCGGCCACGCGGGGTCCCGCGGCACGTACCGCACGCGGCCCCAACCGGGCAGCGCCGGGGCCTCCGCCCGCCCGGCCCGGCCCCGCTTCCCCTTCGCTCCCCGCTTAGCTCGCCTCCTGGTCCCTTTTAAAAAGTTTTTAAGGTTTTTTTTCTCCTTTTTTTTTTTTTTACCATGTCTCCCTTCATTTTTTTCCCCTTTTCTTTTTGCTCTTTTTACTCCCTTCCTCTCCTTTATCTCTTTTCTGCTTTTTTCCCTTCCTTTTACTTTCTTTTTTCAACTTTTTTTTCCTCATCCTTCTTCCTTCCCCACTTATTCCCCTCTTCACTTTCCTTCCCTTTTCTTTTCCACTTCTTTCTTCCTCCTCACTCTCCCCTTCTCCTTTTCCCTCCTTTTTTTTTTTGTTTTTACTTTTACCCATCCTTTCTTTTTCTTCCCTTTTTCTCTCACCTTATTTTCTCTTCTTTCCCCCCCCCCCTTTTTTTTTTCCTCTTTTCCTTCCCCTTTTCCTCTTCACTTTCCCCTTCCCTCTCCCCACTCTCCCCGGCGGGACCCCCCCTCACCTTCTGCGCCTGGTCATGGCTGAGCTCGGTGAAGAAGTAAGCGAGGAGGTGCGATGCGATCATGGCGGGAGCGGCACGGCACGGCACGGCACGGCTCGGCTCGGCTCGGCTCCGCTCGGCTCGGCTCGGCTCGGCTCGGTGCGGTCGGAGCGGAGCGGCCCCGGCAGCGCCGCGCGCTCCCCGCGCCAATCGCGCTCATTGAGGAGCTTCCCCCGCGCCCGTGACGTGGCCGCGCCGCCGCTCCCCCATTGGCCGAGCCGCGAGGGTGTGTGCCCGGCGCACAGCCCGTGTGTCCGTGGCTGTGTCCATGTGTCCGTGGATGTGTCAATGTGTCTGTCCATGCCCACAACCCGTGTATGTGTCCGTGGCTATGTCCTTGTGTCCGTGTGTCCATCCCCACAGCCTGTGTGCGTGTCTGTGTGTCCGTGGCCGTGTCCATGTGTCCATCCCCGCAGCCCGTGTGTGTGTCCGTGGCTGTGTCCGTGTGTCCGTGGCTGTGTCCGTGTGTCCGTGCCCACAGCCCGTGTGTCCGTGGCTGTGTCCGTGTGTCCATCCCCCCAGCCCGTGTGTGTGTCCGTGGCTGTGTCCGTGTGTCCGTGGCTGTGTCCGTGTGTCCATCCCCTCAGTCCGTGTGTCCGTGGCTGTGTCCTTGTGTCCGTGGCTGTGTCCGTGTGTCCGTGCCCACAGCCTGTGTGTCCATGGCTGTGTCCGTGTGTCCATCCCCGCAGCCCGTGTGTGTGTCCGTAGCTGTGTCCGTGTGTCTGTGGCTGTGTCTGTGTGTCCCCCCCCCCGGCCCATGTCCGTGTGTCCGTGGCTGTGTCCGTGTGTCCATCCCCGCAGCCCGTGTGTGTGTCCGTAGCTGTGTCCGTGTGTCCATCCCCGCAGCCCGTGTGTGTGTCCGTAGCTGTGTCCGTGTGTCCATCCCCGCAGCCCGTGTGTGTGTCCGTAGCTGTGTCCGTGTGTCCATCCCCGCAGCCCGTGTGTGTGTCCGTAGCTGTGTCCGTGTGTCCATCCCCGCAGCCCGTGTGTGTGTCCGTAGCTGTGTCCGTGTGTCCATCCCCTCAGTCCGTGTGTCCGTGGCTGTGTCCCTGTGCCCGGGGCCGTGTCCGTGTGTCCCTCCCCGCAGCCCGTGCCCGCCGCCGCTCCGCCCCGGTGTGCCCGGCGCTGTGGCTGTGGCTGTCGCTGTCACATGCGTGTGAACGTGCGCGGCCCTGTGCACCCGTCAGGTCGCATCCATCACCCCGCGGCCCGTGGCGCTCGCCGCTCCGCCCGCGTGTCCCGCTCCCCGTGCGCAGCCACGGACGGCGGGGGGTGCCCCCTGCTCCCCCAAAACCTTGGGAAGCGTCCTTCGGGAGCATCACCGCGGCTGGGCTCTGCCTCCAGCATGCCGCCTTCCTCCTTGCCTCCACCCCGGCTCCATCCCTGCTGTATCCCTGCTCCATCCCTGCTCCATCCCTGCTCCATCCCGGCTCCATCCCTGCTCCATCCCGGCTCCATCCCAGCTCCATCCCTGCTCTGTCCTGGCTTCATCTCTGCTCCATCCCTGCTCCATCATGGCTCCATTCTTGCTCTATTCAAGCTCCATGCCGGCTCCATCCCTGCTCCATCCCCTGCTCCACCCCGGCTCCATCCCTCCTCCATCCTTGCTCTATCCAAGCTCCATCCCGGCTCCATCTCAGCTCCATCCCTGCTCCATCACTGGTCCATCCCGGCTCCATCCCTGCTCCATCCCGGCTCTATCCCGGCTCCATCCCGGCTCTATCCCTGCTCCATCTCGGCTCCATCCCTGCTCTATCCCTGCTCCATCCCGGCTCCGCGGGCCGCACCGGGCACTGGTGGCCCCGAGCCCTACGAGGGCCGCGGCACGTCCTGGCCCTCCGGAGCGGCTCCGCTCCCCGCTGCCAGCAGAGCCGGTCCCAGCAGCCCTGGGGCAGGAGTTACCCAACCCGTCTGCCCGCTCCCGCCGCTTTCCCAACCAGTCCCGAGCAGCTCCGGCTCTTCTCGCCTTCACCCTCTCAGGAGCCCTCTCCGCGCGGCCATTTACATCGTTTTGGTGTTTCTGCTCAGGGAATTGTAACTCCGTTTCAAAGGAAAGAGGGGGAGAAGCAACCAAAGCCAGAGGCGAGGCAATGCTGCTAGCAGACACCTTTTCCTGCAGGATCCAGTCCTGCCGGCCCCACCACGGATCTGTCAGGCATTCCAGTTCAACCCCCAGATCGTGACCTGATGCATTTCAGGATTTGGACTCAATGATCCTTGTGGATCTCTTCCAACTCGGGATATTCCATTAATCTCTGTCGCTGGCCCTACATTTCAATTCACCCTCTGATCCAGCTTTTTTTTTTACCCCTGAAAAGGCAAATTCTCCGTGGTCATGTTGAAATTAAAGCAGTGTTTGAGCCTAAAAATAGCTGGACACATCTGTCCGCCTTCCCCATCTGCCACCAGGCTGGCTGGATGAAGGAAGCGACTGTCTGTGCAAAATGAGGGACCTGTCTCATCCTTCTGTCCCGTAAAATCAGTTTATTCAGGGCAAATAATCCCCAACACTCCATTGATTTGCTAGATAACGCCCTAGTCAAGGAAGGACAGGAGGAGCTGGGCTCTGCTCAACCAGCTCCTCTAAATAAAGTAATTTTTTTAAAAATTTGAGGCTTTTCAGTTGGTTTTGGAAGTCCTTTCATGGAATAAAGCTCCCAATGGAAATCCTATCAAGGCATCCCAGCTCCACATGGGCTTGTAATAATCCATCGGCATTTAACACCGCGTTCCTTGGGAAAAGGAAGCGGCTGATTGTAGGGATTGGAGCTGGAACCAGCTCTAATTTCTCTAATGTGATCCCTTAAGGACGAGTGGTGCAGTAATAACAACGTGGGAGCGGGAGGAAGAGCTGTGCCCAGCGGCCAGAGCAGGGCCGGAGCAGCCTGGAGCCCTGGGACCAGCCAAGCCCCCCCATCCCGTGGAGTGCTGCTGCTCCTGGGGACCCCCAGGACGCCCTCAGAAGCAGCCTGGAGCCCTGGGACCAGCCAAGCCCCCCATCCTGTGGAGTGCTGCTGCTCCTAGGGACCCCCAGGACGCCCTCAGGAACCTGCTGAGGGTCATAACCCACTTTTTTACACTGGGGAAACTGAGGCACGGGTGGGTACAGAGGAATGGGGAGCCAGCAGGGAGCAGCTGGGATGGCCCTGGAGCTGCTCCAGGAGAGGCGTGAACTCATCTGGGATCAGCTGCCTCGTGATTCACGGCTGCAGCGCTGCTCCACATACTTTCCAGCGAGGTTTCATCGCTTGCACGGGCACTCAGAGCCCCACAGACCCACCGTGACACCGGTGACCAGCTATTGACTTTGCCCTGTCACCCAAGGCACCGGAAACCCGGAGCTGGGCCGGACCCAGCCCTCGCACGGGGCCGGGAATAGAAAACCGGTCGGAGAACTTTTCTTCCTTCGGCAGCCGCAGGACGAGCGCGTGACCCGGGGCTGAGCCGGGTGAAACAGCCTTGCCCCAGCCCTGCCGGCAGCGAGGGGGCTCGCCCAGCCCAAACTGGGAGGGGAGGGTTGTGCCCTGCGTCCCTGGGGGTGGTGGGGAGCCATCCTTCCTTCCATCCTTCCATCCATCCTGCGGCTGCTCCTCTGCAGATCTCATGGTGCTGGCGCCAGTTCCAGCCCATCCCATTTCCAGTCCATTCATCCCCATGGACACCTCAACCCAAAAGAGTCAGGGGGATTCCCCTGGGCTCCCTGGGCTGGGCTGCCCCACAGCCTGGCTTCCCACCCTGCTGGTGGGGCTAATCCCCGGGGAACGGACGGAAAAGGGGAGATTAAATTAGATTAGCTGGAGCCGCCTAATTTTAGCATCCTCACGTGTCACTGACACACTGCTCCAGCTCTTCCCCTGCTCCCCCAACCCCACATGACCCCCAAAGCCACCAAGGCCACCAGTCAGGACAGGAGGCATCCAAAGGGGGTTTGGCTGGGTGGTGGCACCCAGAGTGGGTGGGCATGGGGGTCACCGGGCCTGTGCCAGGAGGGAACTGGGCGTGATGGCCACATTCCACTGGTCATGGCCATCCTGCAGTGGTGCTGGCCACACTCCATTAGTGACAGTCACTCTCTATCAGTGACAACCATCCACCTCCAGTGATGGTCACCATTCCTCGCTTGTGGCCACTGTCCCCTTGTGGTGGCCACCTTCCCCTTGTGGTGGCTGCTCTCCACTAGTGATGCGAACCCTCAGTCTTGGGATCATCTCCACCCCAAGCAGCCCCCTCTGCCCAGGGGGATTCTGTAGGGGGACACTTCACCCTGGCACATCCTCTTTCCCCCCTCCACTCCCAGCTCCTGCCTTGCACGTCCTGTTCACCACACCATGAAGATGACCTTGGCCTGGCCAGACCTCCCTCGGGACACTGCCAGCTCATCCAGCTGTGCAGGAGCCCTCCAGCTCCATCAAACATCCCCTGATCCATTGGATGCTTCACGGGATCGGCCCCGTGACACCACAGCGAGAGGAGATGTCTGGCCCCTGCCATTCCCAGGAGCCACACTGTCCCCAACACCCCAGGAAGGTCCCCAGCATCCCAGGAAGGTTCCCAACATCCCAGGAAAGTCCCAAAATCCCAATCCAGCACCCAAAGCCTGGATGCTGGAGCTGGCAGCAGCTGTGGCAGGAGGGAATGTGTCCCCAAAAGCCAACACAGCCAAAGGCAGGAAGAGCTGAGGTCCATCCTGCACCCCACAGGGGCCATGCCAGGTGCCACCAAACCTGGCACAGCTCCGAGGTCAAAAGTCCCGGTCAGGACACGGGACCCTGAGTCACTCTGCCCTGGCATGAGCAACTCCCATGTGGAGCACTTTCCCAATCCCAGCGGAAAGGGGAGGTTTCTCCTGCGTCCCTGGGGCACTTTCCGTGGGCACTGCCACGTCCCACGGCGTGGGACACGCCACGTCCCTGATGCCACCAAACTGGAGCAGGGACACGGGCAGGGAACGCTCGGTGCCAGGGGTTTTTCCCTCCCCTCTGCCCACCCTCATCCTCTCTCCCAGCACTGTGGGTGTGGGTGAGCCGAATCCTGGGGGTCTCATGGGGGTGGGAGAGCCACCCCGATGGCCCCGTGCCACAGCCACGTCCAGCTTGCCCCAATCTCCAGAGATCCTCCCCAGCCCATGGCAGGAAATCGCCCAAAACTCA